CTGAGGAAAACTGAGAGACATATCACCAAGCAACACCAGCTTCCATCAGCCCTTACCAGCTTGGCCATTGATAAAATATGATGGGAATTGTAGTATAGTGATGATATAGGATTCACTATTATCTGTTTCAAGTATCCATGAGAGGGAAGAACTTGCAAAATATCCCCCTGAAGATACAGAGTTGTACTGTATATACTGATCGTGGAGTGTAGGCAAGTTGCAACAATAAATGAATTAAGCTTTGCAGATTGTAGCAAACTGCTCCTCTACTGGCTGAGCTGGAGATCTGCACCTTTTCTCTTGGCTAGAGTGAGTCCAACAAAAGTTTTTTGTCTCATAAGTGGAAGTGGCCTATGGGAACTAGAGACTCAGAACCAGGCCCTGAGATCTTGCATCCCTGGGTCCATCTCAGTCACTGTTTTAGCACTTTCGTGAGGACTACTATGCCTCAGTTTCTTTTGTGTTCTTGTAGCACTGCTTTCTAGAACGGCAGCTGCCGCGTCCGCATCAGAGCTTTTTATGCCATCTGTTTCAAGCTCTAGCCGAGAAGATATGTGGGAAGAGGGCCCAGGAAGATCAAGCCCAATCTGGTACAGGGACTGTGTGCTTTGCAGTCCTCCCCAAGTATCAGTCTCTGTAGGAGATGCATCGGCTCCATTTGGCATCCATACACTGCCCAATTCACAGTATGGGTCTATGTATTAATGCAAATTTGTGCCTAGAGTTGTATGACTTCCAATAACCCTTAGTGTGCTTCAAAGAGGGAACTGGAGAGAGCCTTAATTTAACACAGAGGTGTCCGCAAAAGATACTCTTGATTAATTGCCTGTTTACCCAATTAATTAAGCTTAGAGAAATTTGCATACCAGCAGCACCATGGCATGACTGTCTTTTAAAGATGCTGAAAAACAAGCAGGAGGTAACCATACTGCTAATAGAGCAGGCTATCTTTCGTGGTTTCTTTTTAATTTCCAGCATAAGTATTGCATCAGATTGAAAAAGAGCTTCAAAACTAACCAGAATGCAGTTCTATATGGATTTTAGGCATGCAAGATTTACATGGTTTTTATGAGAGCTCTGTGTTCTGTCATCTGGGGCCTGGCATAAAAGATAAAGACACTGAATATAAAAATCTTAAAGGTAGGAGTGTATGTGGAATGCCAGAAGTTGAACTGGAAGCTCATAGTTCTTCTGCCCCCAAATCCATTCCTGGTCACCGCACTCTTTCTTTATTGCAATAGCATAATGCCTAGTTGTACCTTATCTAACTGCTTAAAAAATGTCCTGATTTCACTCTCCCCTTTCTATTTTGACCTCAGCATATTGCAGTTGCTGCAAATAGTGATCCAAGTGCAAAAGTAGCTTGCATATGGTTAACGCAGCAGGAGGGAGTCGAGGGCCAGAATAGCGTCCTTCCCAGAAGGCTCAGGCAAAGACAAACTGCTGCTTCGGTGTTTCCTTATTAGTACTTTTTGCCATGTTTACCACATGCTCACGTTGCTTGGCTACAAATCTGCCATTGTTCATCTGTGCAGTGTTGGAGGATATGTTTCCCCATATGTGTATGCCTCAGCCAAAGGGAGAGGACATTTATTTGCTATTAGTGAGGTTTGATTAATCTGCAGAAAATTATAAATATATCTACTACTAGGTTCAGTTTTACCTTTTTCCTTTCTCCGATTTAGTTCAGTGTGAGAGAACTGGTGAGAGATAAAGGGCTGGATTAGAACTGGTGTTGAATTTGAACTATGAAATTCCTTGGCTTGGGATACCATTCAGTATTTTTCAGTTGAACTGCTCTACTTTATATGGCTGTTGTAAGGAAAAATTGAAGAGGAGGAAGAGTTCAAGAATGGGATAAAAATATGTAATGATTCTGCCATTATCTCAATCCCACTGAAAAAGGTAAAGGTAAAGGTTTCCCCTGACATTATGTATACTTGTGTCCAACTCTGGGGGATGGTGCTCATCTCCATTTCTAAGTTGAAGAGCCGCCGTTGTCCGTAGATGCCTCCAAGATCATGTGGCTGGAGCACTGTTACCTTCCTGCAGAAGTGGTAACATTGATCTATTCACATTTGATCTTGCTGCAGAAGTGGTAACTATTGATCTACTCACATTTGCATGTTTTCAAACTGTTAGGTTGGCAGAAGCTGGGCCTAACAGCGGAAATTTATTTATTTTATTTATTTAAAACATTTATATTCCGCCCTTCTCACCCCGCAGGGGACTCAGGGTGGAGCACAATATATATACGGCAAACATTTAATGCCGGGACATAAAACCATAAATATATACACACATTAAAATCACTTATATTCACATTAAAAGTTGCTTTAAAACTATCTCAGGACAGCATTTTGCCTCATTGCACTGCCCCAAAGGCTTGGTCCCACAGTTAACCCTACTCCCCAGATTCAAACTGCCAACCTTTTGGTCAGCAAATTCAGCAGCTCCCACTGAATTGTCAACTAAAACCTACATCCAGTTGACGGTACCTACATGGTGAAATTGTTTCAGCCCTGGACTACAATTCTGATGGCTGGGGTTCCATTTCTCACTCAGCCATAGGGACCCATTGGTTGACCTTGAGCAAGTCAGCCTCAGAGGAACCCAAACACAAACTCCTTCTGAACCAGTCTGGCCAAGAAAACCCCATGATGGGGTTGCCTTAGGGTTGCTAGAAGTCAGAAACGACATGAAGGCACACAATAACTGGAAACAAACCCACTACTTCAACGGCTAAGTCAAAAAATTTCAAATCCATTGATTTTTTATTTGGATTTATAATTGAGATGAGCAATTGAATTAAAATTAAAATGTTTAATTGCCTAATCATACCAACTAACCCAATTTGAACTTTGAAAATATAAAAGTGGGAACAATGTTTTTCTCTACCCCACCCCTCAAAAAAAGATTGAGGGACGCAGTACACAGCCCTCAGGCATTCTGCCCACAACTGCATCCTCTCCTTTTCTCTTCCTAGCATTAAGCCCACGGCTGGCTCAGAGATTAGTCCCTGTCTCTGCCTTCAGACAGGTGGGGCAGGTGCGTGGGTGGCAGTGTTGAGCCTCTCCAGCAGATTGCACATTCCAGGGAAATCTGCAGCTGTCCATCTCCTTAATGCCCCCCTCCCATTTAGTTTTTTTTCCTCCAAAGCTCCCCAAACAGCTGAAAGACAAAGAGACAGGACAGATGCTCCAAATAAGGGTAGGGTGGCTGAGAGCAGGGTGGCCAATGAGAGGATTCATGTGTGTTGTGATGCCTCCTCATTGGCAGAAGGCTCAGCACAAGGGATGCTTTTATAGTCCTGGGCCATGTAGGAGAGAGAGAGAGAAAAGGGTGTGCAATTTTTGTCCTCCTGAGCATCCCATCCTGGCAGAGATTCTGAAAGGTGGCAAGGGATGGGGCCTGTCGGTGTAGGTGGGTGCCGTTTTCCTAATTGTGATCTTTTAGGAGCTCAGTTTCCTAGGTTCTGTAAGTTAAGTGTGTGTGTGTGTGACTGGGAGAGATCAGTCAGAAACTGTGGTTGGAAAATGCAAGAACAGCTGTAAGACAAGACATCTTGGCTCTTAAAGGAAGGAAAAGAGGAGCAGGAAGATGGGGGAGAATGTTTTTTTCCCCTCTATTTTAGGAAAACTTAAAAGCTTTAGGGTATTTAGGCCCAGATCTGATCATTCTGTCTTCACTTAAAATAGAGCCATTCAGCAGTGGAACTCTCTGCCCCGGAGTGTGGTGGAGGCTCCTTCTTTGGAAGTTTTTAAACAGAGGCTGGATGGCCATCTGTCGGGGGTGATCTGAATGTAATATTCCTGCTTCCTGGCAGGGGGTTGGACTGGATGGCCCATGAGGTCTCTTCCAACTCTTTGATTCTATGATTCTATAGGATGCTATGATCTAGGCCTAAACAATACCTTAAAAGCATCAGATCACATCTGATCTTGGAAGCTAAGTGGGGTCAGTCCTGGTTAATACTTGGATGGAGGACTGCCAAGGGATACCAGATGCTTTAGGCTGTATTTCAAAGAAAGGAACAAGTAAAAACATCTCTGAGTATTCCTTTCCCATATAAAATGAATTGAGTTGTCATAAGTGGACAGCTGACTTGAGGGCACATGTACATCCCGGGCTTATTCTGAGTATCATCTATATTCAATTTCTTAAGTCTACTTTGTAATGGACATACTGAAAAATATTCTGCATGCAGCTGTTACCTCTGTGCAACTTGTTGTGTGGCTGTGGGGCAAAGTTATGAAAACTTTAGGAATGATCACTACAAGAATCCCTCGGTCGACATAGCCATAGTGGTTGTGTGTGCATTTGGGAAACCAACATTTCCAAGCTACCAGGTAGATTTTCTTCCTTCTGCCACTCCTCCAGCTTCAGATCTGTAGTACAGAGAATATAATACTCCTTCCAGGAATGTAAGGGCAATGAGACAATATCTGTAAGGCACTGCCAATACAGTAAAAGATGCTTCCTGGTACAAGAGATACTCAGAACCTTTGGGAAGAAAGTATTAGCAAGAATGGGTTTTTTTTTTCTGAGAGAGAAATGAGTGTCTAGTTGTTGTGGGAATAAAGGTATGTCATCTGTCCTTGTTCTGTTCTAAGAAGTCCCTCTTGATTTTAGCTTGACTAAGAAAATACTTGGATTTCTTAGGGCTAAAGGAATGTAATCACCGATTTCTTTTTTATAAGCTCAGTGTCTTTACTACAGCGGACAAGGAAGCTTTTTCTCTTCAACAATTGTAGCACTATGAATCTACTTTAACTGCCATGACTCCATCCTACATCATGGGACTTTCAAGTTTAGGGAGGAGTACTTCAAACTGTGACAGAGAGCAAATCCTAGACTACAAACTCTAGGATTCCATGAGATTCAGCCATGGCAATGGGTGATCATTGCATTAAACTGTGTAATGTGAAAAGGCTTAAGGTTCCAGAATCTCTTGTAGTTGTGGTTCCCTGCTTCATTCTTTCTTCTCTCTCTCTCTCCAGGGTAGCGCAGATGCTGCAGTGCCGCCAACTGATGCCATGACCCAGACGTTCCCAGCTCAGTACCCTCCACCACCACCTCAGGCCCGGCTGCCTCCACAGTATCATCTTCACAGCACCGCTTCAGAGTACCCATCTCCAACAGCCCCAGATCACAGCCTGCGCATCTTCACTGAGCAAGGAACAGCTGCATCAGAGCCACTGCCGCTGCCCCCACCACCTGCTGTAAGTGGGGGCTCCAGGGTTGAGGGTTTGGTGGCAAGGCAATTTTTTAAAAAAATTGTGATTAGGGATTGTCTTCTGGAGGAGCTGAGGGACAGAGCTAGAGGCTGAGCCAGAGCATCTATTCCCCCCACCACCAAATCTTGAGCAGTTGTTTCTCCAAGATCATTCTGGTGACATTAGATCAACAATCTAGAATCTTGTTGTCTACATTTTAAAAAAAACACAGGTTAGGAAAGCCAGTTAGTTGGCTCTATGGCATTTCAATATCATCTCCCAACTCTGATCTTGCTTCTTTGTATATGCCAGACAAAAATCGTTTAGAGCAATTCTGGGCACCACAATTGAAGAGAGATATTGACAAGAGGAGGGCGACTAAAATGATCAAGGGTCTGGAGAACAAGCCCTATGAGGAGCGGCTTAAAGAGCTGGGCATGTTTAGCCTGCAGAAGAGAAGACTGAGAGGAGACATGATAGCCATGTATAAATATGTGAGGGGAAGTAATAGGGAGGAGGGAGCAGGCTTGTTTTCTGTTGCCCTGGAGACTAAGATGCAGAACAATGGCTTCAAACTACAGGAAAGGAGATTCCACCTGAACATTAGTAAGAACTTCCTGACTGTGAGAGCTGTTCAGCAGTGGAACTCTCTGCCCCAGAGTTTGGTGAAGGGCTCCTTCTTTGGAGGCTTTTAAACAGAGGCTGGATGGCCATCTGTTGGGAGTGTTTTGAATGCAATTTTCCTGCTTCTTGGCAGGGGGTTAGACTGGATGGCCCACGAGGTCTTTTCCAACTCTATGATTCTATGATTTAATGCCACTCCTTTGATTGGAAAAGCCAAACTTTGTGACAACTGCTGGAGTATTTGGCGGGTGGACGTTCTGAAAACAGTGACACATTTTGGGATTAAGCAGTTTTACACTGAGTGACATGGTACACAGAACTTTGACTGAGGCCCCTTCTACACTGCCAAATAATCCAGGTTATCAAAGCAGAAAATCCACATTATTTAATTTGAACTGGATTGTTTTAGTCTACACTGCCATATAATCCAGTTCAAAGCAGATAATGCGGATTTTATACAGCTGTGTAGAAGGGGCCTGAATCTGCTTTAGCTACAGACCCTGAGGGGGGGAAACCCTTGATAGTGTCCAAATCTGGGATACAAAGGGATAAAGTACCGCCCTATTTTTGATAGCTTGTTAAACATGTGTGGCCAAGCAACACTACAATAAGATCAAAAGGACAAAAGACATTAATGAGGATGAAAACAAAGCTAGAAATACACAAGCTGCAGCAAATGGCTTTTATCAGACTCTATAGGGAAGAGTAGAATGTTCCACTCCTCCCTCTTGCTGAATTAATTGAATGCAAGTTACTTTGAACTCAGTTTGTGGAAACTGAAGTAAGCTGAAGAAAAATGGGAAAGTAGAAGGAGGAAGATGAAACTAGCGCATTTCAAAAACCACAGGATAACAGAGGATAAGTTGGAACTGTCCCTGTTGAAATGGAGGCAGTTGGAGGGTTTGGCCATGCTGAATTGAGCATTTCAGATGTGATTCAAATAAATACTCTTTCCAAGTTTTGATTATGGACCAAGACAAACAGGCAAGTTCTTAGGGTCCACTTATGGCCCTGTGAAGATAGTGCATGGTGAACATTTCCTGCAGTGCCTTCAACATCCCCTCGATCAAGGATATCTGGGGGTACTGAAAATGGAGACTAAAATCTGCTTGGCATAAACAGCCAGGACAGGTGCCATTATTATGCTAGACCACATTGAGGGGTGGAAGCTTGCCAATTACTTAAGGGCATCATGTCTGGAAATTGGACTTGAATGTCCAAATTAAACTGGAGATTTGTAGAGATTCCACAACATTTTTGAAGTTTCCCCCTTATACTTCCCACTTCCAGCTGCAGTAGAGCAGTGCTCCTCTGGCTGATGACGTAGAGAGTGACAATTATTTTTTTTTCCTTTCTGCCAGAGACCAGTTACATGCATGTAGTCACTGACTACAGCTGTCTTGCCAATGATCAGCATTAGCTCAGGGTCAATAACAACCAGTGCTGCATTAGAGTGCCCCAAAATAATGGTCCTCATACTGTCTGTTGGTTCTTAAGGAGATTTAAAAAACAACAGCACATAATTCCCTCAAAAACAGCTCTTAAAGAGTGGTCAGATTTCTAACAGATTAACTTGAGTGCGGGAGACTGATGGATTTTCCTTTTCTTTGTGTTATGGTGGCGGGTAGTGAGGGGTTTAAGGTGCTCCACTACATAGACTTTAAAATATCCCTTGGGATATTTTTTTTTTTCATTACTCCAGTGAACCACTCAGAGGCTTGACTTCCTCTCTGAAGTGTCTGCTATTTGTGGCATTTGTGAGGTGATCATAAATGCTAGATACTTGGGAGTCTGTGGTTACCTCCATTCCTCATAAGCCATGCTGGGATGAATGTCTGTCTTGGTGCCCCTAGTCACCTCCAGTCATGTAATAATTCATATATGTCTTGCGAGCTGAGAGACTGTTGCTCTTTCCCTCCACTATCATACAATTAGTAGGGGAGTTAGGCATGCCAACTGACTTGCCTCTGCACTGCACATTTAGCATAGAGATAGTGCACTGGGAATGTGGAGGTTTGTTGGATGAATATGCAGTAAAGAAGAACTAAGGCATGTGGTTCATCAAGTGCTGTTGGACTACAATTCCCATCGGTTCTAGCCAACATCACCAATTTTTAGAGATGATGGTAGCAATAACCCAACACCATCGGGCTGGTCCACATTCCTCATCCCTGCTGTAAGAAAGGTAGGTATGTGTGAAAATCATGGAGATTCTCTTGATGTGGCGCACTCCAAAATGGCCCTCTGCCATATACGCATGTAAGCAATCTGAAGTAGTGTAAGCCCATTCCACCATGCATGTACAAAGAGAAACTGAATGCTGGGAGAGAAAGCAAACCAGGGTGATATCCATTGGTTGGCGTGTCAGGCTGGAAAGTCTTAATCACAAAGTATTTCACATGTTCAGAGCATTTCATGTACATTTTCTCACAAGTACTTAGATGAATATTCTCCCTCTAAAATTGGAGATAGGAAGTCTGAAGCTCAGGAAATAGTAACTTCTTACAACCTGTATTTACTTAGAAGCCAGTCTTGCTTTGTGCAATGGAATTGACTCCCAAATAAGCATGCATAGGATTAGAGCCACAATCAATCTGCATTTCCTAGCTTGAATGCTTAGCCGCTTCACTAGAGCTCAACACTAAGAAAACGCAGGGCTGTTTTGTTCTGAGAAATACCAACTTCACAGAATTTTTGGCACAGCCATCACCAATCTACAGTTTCCAACATTCCTCAGGGATGTCATGACAGTTAGTAGTGCTATATGGCCAAAGTGTTTGTCATGAATACCTTGGAAGATAGGCTCTGATATTTAAATACTTCCACATGACATTTTCTTCAGTGGTCAAAGTGAATTACAAACACAGCAGTGCTGTTCAAGTACTGGCATTTCTGAATGCAGTTGTTTGATCAGGTAGGAGCCTTAGCTTAGGGGCAGAGTGATGTTTGCAGAAGATCCTAAGTTCAATCCTTGTGTCTTCAGATAGCCCAAAGATCCACCAAGATTAGGCAGGGCTGAGTAACATGGAAGAATGGTCTAAATTAAATCTAACAGGAGAGTGAGGAACATCAAGCAGTCCTGATACAGATGAACTGCTGATCTCAACATTCTTCACCATAGGCCAAACTGGCAGGAGATGATAGAACGTGGGGTCTTCAACATATGAATGACCAAAGATGATCGAGGCATATAATTTTGTCTCACTAAGTATTGTTGTGCTAATTTAGGAATTTGTAGGACTAGTCTTTTAGAACCAAATCACAGTGGGTTTGTTTATTTTTATCTAACAGGGATAGGGTAGCCAGATGGAAGAACTCCTGTACCTTTAACAATTTGGTAGCAGAGATTTCAGCAGGTATATTTTATGCAGGCAGACAAACGATACCTCCTGAGACACTGTCTTCAACACAGTTATTAAAGTTGCAGCAGTTGTGTCCTCTTTTGCTTGTGGCTACCCCAGGGCAGTGTCATCTCCCTCAGGTTTGAAAAGATGTCTGCTTCCTGCACTATGTAAAATGGATCTTGTTCTGCTTATGCGTATATGGTCATGCAGGTCTTCTGAATGTTTGAAGTACTGTAAAAACTTGTTCCGGTAACAGAAATCAATGGGCATTTCCCAGATAACAGTGCTTTATTGGTTTACCTTGCAAGATTACTGCCACAAGAATTATTGAGATAACATAAAGAACAAATCTGGAACTGTGGTATAAACATGTAAAATATTAATAAAGTGAATACATCTAATTTTGTTTTTTCAGCAATATTTTAGTAATGTAACTGCCCGCACACTTTTTGATATTTTAGGCTACCAGAGAATAAAAATGGCTTTGCCTGATTGTCTGCAGGCAGTTTTTATTCACCCTAGAGCAGTGGTTCCCAGCCTGTGGTGCGTGGACCACCAGTAGGCCGCAAGAATGAAAATATGGTCTGCAGCCTCACCACTACTACACCCTTGCCTTGAAACTACACAGCAACAAGAGCGACTGGTCTTGCAAAACCCCCTTATAGTGTCAAGGCAATGGGAATGTCGGGAGGGGAGAGGCTGACTATCTATGAAAGTTTACTACTACCACATCAGCTCTAGATTATTAAATATGATTTTCTGTGGGCAAGCAGATGGCAACTACTTGATGGCATATGTTCTGTATCAGAAACTAGAGCTGATGTGGCATATCCAAGGCAGTTTTCTGAATCGGCACCCCAAATAACCAAACCAAATCTAAAGCTGACCAAAAACTGATTCGTAACCCTTTCAGTACTAATGTTCTTGGTCAAAGTGGTCTCTGGTCAAAGTGGTCTCTGCTCAAAAAAAGGTTAGGAACCACTGCCCTAGATGATCCAGTGAGAGATAGTTTAAAATTTGGCATTTTATAAGTTTTTG